CCAGTTCATGCGGTTTCTCTGTCTCCCCAGGGTGTGAATCCTCACCTTCGGATTAATGGGCCAATGAACATCAACCACTACGCAACCAAGAAGAGCGTGGCGGAGAGCATGCTGGACGTGGCACTGTTCATGGCCAACGTCACACAGCTCAAAGCTGTGCTGGAGCAAGGGGCATCCTTCCAGTACTATGCCACCCTCATTGTGCTTATCACCATCTCCCTCTTCTTCCAGGTGATGATTGGGATACTCCTCATCATCACCGGTAAGGCGGTCACCGAGACGCGTGCGACCTTGCAGGACGCTGCCAGGTGTAGGGTGCCCCAGGGGTTGGCTGGCATGGGTGTGGAAGGGAGAAGCCTCCTCCCAAATCATTCCCCTCTGGCTCCAGCCAGGGCTGCAGGAGGGTTGAAGGCAGCTTCACGTGGGCAGTATGGAGGTCTGTGTTATTGCTTTTCAAAGTGGTGTGTGGGTTCGTTTTTGTTTGTACAGCATCTCTGAACACAACTCTTTTTTCACTTCCCCACTGCTGAATCCCTGTCCTAGGGGAAGAGCTGGCTTTTGGCCAAGCTGGGCCTCTTGCTGCCCGTGCTGTTCTGTGCTCCTTCATGCAGATACTACATTTTACCCATATCTTACATCTCACTTGAGCTGGGACTGGACAGAAAAATTGAGGCATGGGTACTCCCTATATTAGCCTCACATTTAACCAGTCCCACAGTTCTAGTGCCCTACAGACAGGACATTAATACCAGCATTTCAGGCAGGTTTGTCCAGCGCTCTGATACAGGATTTGCTATTTCAGCCTCCAACATGTGTCCACTACTAAAAGCCTGCAGAATGCTGCATTTTCCTGTATATATGGTGTGGGGTTTCATGTGGGACAGAGGATTGGAGGCTACGGGAAATCCTGTTACGTGTTCCTTCTCATGTCCTGCATGCCACAGCCTTTCCTGGTGGCAGCTGTGATGACTGGAGCCAGCCGAGAGGAGAAAGGGGACAGGGGACCACAACTGAGGGCAGGGAGCTACAAGGCTATTGTAGCTTGTTGGCCAGACAGCCCCAGTAATCAGGGCGTTCCTATGTTTGAATGGATCAATGCCTATCAGCCAGGGCTGATCTCATTCATGTACCCAGGTACCTGTTAGTCTGCACGAGAGGAAGGGGTTGATAGGTGTGTCAAGGTGTGTGACAAGGAAACCCTGGCCTCCCAACCCAAGTACTACATTGTTCACCTCACCTCCCAGGTCACACAACCTTCCCCCACCACATCCTGAGCCATGCATTGCTGGGGGGTCATGGCACATGTCTGGCTTCTGTGCAGCAGTAACTTGGCAGGGCCATGGCACCTCCATGGCAAAACAAGGGCATGACATAAAAAAGGATTTATTTTTGTTTCTCTACTCCATCCTTCTATATCACCCTAGAGCAAGCTGTAGCTCCTGTAAAACTCCCCTGCTCAGAGGCCTCAGTGCCCAGGGGCACCACAGACATTCGTTAGGCAGGGGCTGGGGACTTGGAGTCAATCTGCCAAACCTCCCTCTCTTTTTGCATTGTACCACACAGCTCGTCTGAACCTGAATGATATTGCAAAGCAACCCCGCCTGAACATACTCAACAATGCTGCCACAGCCCTCATCTTCATCACCGTCATCCTCAACATCTTCATCACAGCCTTTGGGGTGCAGAAGACTGGCCTCTATCCTACCAGGATTTATCGACCTCATTAGGTCATGGGGCAATGGAGTCAGGTAAGGAAGGGTGAGTTCCCATCACTGCCAGCCCCTGGGAGGGCTCTCAGTCTCAGGAAACATCTCTACAAGGTGCAGAAGGCAAAGCTGCACAAATCAACAAAGCCTTTCCACAGGCATGTTTCTGTCCCACAGAATCTGGGGACATTGAACAAATTCCCTCGGATAATTTCTCCTTGCTTGGTCTTTAAGGGAAGAACACCAAACATCACAGTTGCTGGGATTTATCAGCAGCAAGTGGTTTTCAGAAGGCTGCAGACTTCGTGCAAGATTCAAATAGCAGTTATGGATGGGGACTAAATTCGGGAAAGGAAACTAGGTGTGTTCAGGGAGGTATCAAAAAATGACAGTGCTATCTAGGCAGAGAAAAAGGTGCTGGCAAGGCAGAGGTGAAAGAGGTCTTCCCAACAGCTGTTGTGGTTTGGCAGGGCCTGTTTTAAGAATCTAATGCTCTTTTTCAACAAAGTCCTGTGAGTAAGAGTTCATCCAAATGGTTGGTTTCCCATGTTATGTCAGTGAGAGAACGACATGTTCTTAGATCAAAAGCACTTTAGGACAAGAAGCAAAGTTCACATTTCTTGCTTACATGACTGGCAAAATGTAAACACTGTTCCAATGCAATTTACCAGGGCAACAGTCAGCAAGAAAGCTCAATAGATGCATGATGTGATGAGAAAGGACGCAAAGGCCGAAAGTCTCTCTAAAACCACTGCTGACTTTGGATCCAGAAGGGTGCAAGCACTGAAGAGCAGCACACCACACACACAGGGGGGTTATGGTGCTGAGGGACCCTCTCCCCCCATGCAGCAGAAGTGCTTGCCCTGACCTTACTGGCATCTCTTATGTTCCCTGCAGGGTCTGAGCAGCGCAGCTGGAAGGGAGAGCTCTCCTCTGCGTTCTCACTGACCTCAGCAGGAGCCCATCAATGAAGCCAGAAACTGGGTTAAACTTTCAAAACTCTGTGTCATATTTTATCAGCCCCTCACTGTAAAGCTTTTGCAGTTTATTGCCTTTCAAAGCTGGAGCAAACTTTGCTAGAGAAAACTGCAGGAACAGCAGCAGGTACACAGGTTCAAAGCAGAGGTCTGTAAATCTCAGCTCCTATTTCAGCTGCCTGCTTCACATATCCAATATTGGCTCACTTGGTAGAGAAGCTTACTTTGTATGCTAAATAAATAAGGAAAGTCCAGCTTTTTTGTCTCAAACATAAGTTGTTATACCTAAAGCAATTCTATCTAATAGTTTAGGATGGATTTCTCAAACAAAAAAAAGGTCTCATGGGAGGATAGAAAAGTGTGTATACATCAGCCTAGCTAAAGCCAGTTCAAATGTTTTCCTATTTGTTTAAAATTAAATGTGACACAGTTAAGAAAACAATCAGGTATTTCCAGCATTAGAATATTAACAATGACAGAGAATAGTTCTTATGGTCTGATGTCACCATCAGGGACCTATCAGGAATGATGCCAGAATGGCCTGACAATACTTGGTAGAAAATGAAGAAACATTATCCATGTGGAGACAGCCCAGGCTTATTGCCACAATGAGAAGTGACAGTTGCATAGTGTTATTATAACTCATTAAAAACCCATTAAAATTTAATGCTTTATCACTAATATAAATGTTTTTAAATGTATTGTTGTTATGGTGAAAATGCTGGGAATTCTCTTGTGTTAGAACAATTTGTTTCCTTAAAAAAAGATCCTTTGAATTAATGAGTTTCCAGACGTTTCTGAAAGAGTAAAAATTTTCAATCCTAAACGTTTTAACACTGTAGTCATGCTAAAAATTAGTATTTTAATATCCTTGTGTAAGCCTCTTTAAATGATTACATGCTCTTCTGATTATTAAATGTGGTTTTTTTCCATTGTACTGCAGAATCTGAGTTAAATATGGACTTTTCATTTTGCACATCCTTGCCACCACTAAGACAGAAATGTCATAAAACATCCTCATATTGACCTTCAGGAGCTACTGGAGTGTCTGACCCTTAGATACAGATTACAGCTGCATTCTGTATTTGACTTCACAGAACTAAATTTCTGTTTAGGTGGTGCTTTTTCCCTTGAGGGGGTGTGAATGATCCTGCCCACGAAGGTGGTGTTACCCACCACAGGCCAACCAGTACCAGTACTGCAACTAACAGTGGCTTTTCTGCAGCTGAGAAAAAGTTGCATAAAAAGAGTATGGTGGAAAATACCAGCTATGTAATTAGCAGAATTTAAAGTGGCAATGCTGAGCACAGTCTGGGATCTGTTTGGTGAAGTAGGCAGAGACTCGTGCTCCACTTTGGGGGACGACAGGGCAGGAGTGACACCGAGATTGCTACTTAACTCAGTCCTCAGTCTGCTGAGACTGACAGCAAACGGGGAGGGGGGGGGAAGTTTCTGGGAAGCCTCTTATCTTGCTCTCAGCTAGAAAAAGGCTTCACTGTAGAGGTGGAAAAACCAGTTGTAGTCAAAGCAAAACCACAAGCTAAGGGCTCTCAGCCACTACTGAGCTGATGGGATCATGAAAAGGTAAAAATATGCATCCCCTGTGCGGGTCCCAAACCCTAGGACTCATTGCTTCATGGAGCAGGAGGCAAAGCAATTAGCATTGATGACTGAATGTAAAGAGAGGAGAAATAAACTTGCTCATCTGGGAATAAAGCAGTGAGGGGAATTTCACTACCAGATCTTAACTTCAACATCATCGTTTTGGAGAGCTGCCAGGTGAGGTATGGCAGGGAGTCAGGCCTGCCCAAGCAGACAGGGCTTCTCATCACCCATCCCAGGTAAGCCAAAGACTGGCAGCACTCTGGAATGCTCTTCCTCCATCACCTTTGATAATAACTAGTTCTCAATATAATGAAATCAGACTCATTAGCAACTTTGGCTGCCTTTTCCCCTTTCCATGTCTGACACCCATTCCTACCAAGCTTTTGATGCTCAAAGGTGGCACAGCTGAAGCAAGAACTGGCCAAAATTGAACCTAAACAAGCAACTGCTGCGGAAGAGCTGAACTCCAATTTGTGTAGGCTGTGCTAAGCACTGAGCTCGAGTCTCGGCACTCACCTGCAGCCACCTCCAGGAACTGTCCCCTGTTTGTGAGAAGGACCACATCACTCTCTGCACTCTGTATGATCACATCACACTCGTGCTGTGGTGGGATGTGCATTTGTCTGACGTTTCCACCTTGTTCCACATGATAAACCCAAGAAGACAGCAGAAAAACTGTTTTGTTGCCATCCCACTTTCTAGAGACCTAGAAGGGACTGAAACAGGTCTTGCTCCTGGCTAACCTTGCTTGCTTCATTTTCTACCCACTTCCTGCTGCAAAGCTCTCGCTGTCTTGGGCAGACAGTGACCTGTCTCTGCGGTACTGCCTGTGCTTTCAGTTGTATGAAGACAGAGGAGCAACACGTGGTTTCTAATCCCCGCGCCAGGGTGATGCAGGTGTGAGGAACACAGACACAGCTCTTGTAGGAAGACAATGTATTTATAAAACATGAGGGAGAATCTGTATATCCCCCAGCGCCAAAAGAGAAGTGGCCCAGGAGACATCTTGAAGGCACAGAGCCACCTTAAGGCAGATAACTCAAAGGTACAACTCAGATTTTCAACACAAGGCATCTGTATCTAAAAAAATCAATCCACTTCAGACCTTTGTAGGCAATGATGTAGACGATGTAGATGATGTAGGTGAGATGTTCATACCAGGCAAACATTAAGACAATGACGGAACTAGTCACATTGTATTTTTCACACGACACGTTTTGCTCAGAATAAAAGCGAGTCCTTCTTCATTCTCCTCACTGACCTGCAGAATAGACCTCAGCCCCACAGCTCACAGTCCTGGAGACAGCCAGCATTGTAGGCAGAGCTCCTCGCTGTGTCCCCCAGGCCTGGGGGCCCAGGGTCCCCAGCCTGGCCACATTCTGCCCCAGGGAAGGTCTCTTGTGCAGCATGGCCTATCATCTCCCCAGAGCCCGGGGCAGTGCACTCCTGCCTGAGGCACAGGACACCCCATTGTTAGGGTTTTTTAGGGGCTCCCCTTTTGCTTGAAGGAATTTCCCCCACACGTTATCAGAAGACGTTGATGGTTGGATACTAAGAGAGACAAAAGGCCTCAGCCACAGGGCCGGGACACCTTTTTCTTTCACAGAATACCTCAGCCGCAGGGCGGGACACTTTTTTCTTTCACAAAATACCTCAGTCACTGGGGGAGACACCATTTTCTTTCACAAAACACCTCAGCCGCAGGGCGGGACACTCTTTGGGCTCGGCGCTCAGGGCGGTGGGAGCTGCGGTCGC